CGTCCTCCTTAAGACCTGCTGCCAGTTAACTGGACTGAGACCCCGTCCTCCTGCAGACCTGCTGCCAGTTAACTGGACTGAGACCCAGTCCTCCTGCAGACCTGTAGACATGTAATTTAGCTGAAACGTTTAGCATTATTTTAAAATCTAGTCATAAAAACATCCCAATCAACGTGAACTTTGTGTTTCAGAGTAGAGATGTTGTTTTTGTTCGTGCTGTGTCTTTGCTGTCGTCTTAAAGAGCTTCTTCTTCTGCAACGTGCAGTGAAAGCCACGGGAAGCTGACCGTCTTCTCCATGAAGGCCATGCTAGCAACGATGTGTGGAGGAAAGATCATGGACAAACTGCGCTGTAAGTCTCATTTGTGCTGAATAAGTCCCAGACTTCTGTAAATACGCTGTTTTCAGCAGCGTGCAGTTGAAGAGTTCACTTCATGGGCAGGAATTAGTTTGGGGGCATTTAATGATTGAATGGTTCCTGGATCTGACCTCAAGTCATGACAGTCCATCAGGAGCTTGATCTGTTTTGTCCCGTCAGAAACTGTATGTGTTCTGGGTCATGGTCTTCAACCATCCAAGGGTTTATCTGAGGTAAAGTTGAAGATTTTGGAGGTAGCCCTCCTCCTTCATGATCAGAAACATCCACTTCATGTACTGGTCCCACAGCATGATGCTAACTACACCGTGCATGACAGTTGGTGCAGCCTCGTCTGGACTCCGTCAAACACACTTTGTCTTGTTGTCTTCAAACAGCTCAGTCTTAGTTGTGTTCGATCATCACACGTTTCTCCAGAGAACGTCTGGCTGGTCCACGTGAACAGCTGCAGATTTCACTCCAGCTTGAAGGTGCTGGAGCTCCACCTCTCACTTTGTGGTGACGTAAACCTTCACTGTGGACAACGGAAGGACTCTGGTGTTCCAGAAGGTCCCAGGTCGTAAATCTCAGTGATTCCTGGTCATTCCTGAACATCTGAACCAAGTTCCTCTCTTTTATAGATCTTCGCTCAGTTCGTTGCACTTTTCCCACTGATAAGAGTTTTTAAATGAAACAAATCCTTTTCATGCTGGCAAGATGAAACCACCAGCTGCAGTCGGTCGTCATCACTAAGAGAACCGGCCTCGGCAAGTTAAAGTGCATTTTTTAAACTTTAGCACCACATAATAAAAATTAACATACTTTTTAAAGATCTGACGGTTACAGGAAGTTGTGGTCTTGCACACCAAGATCTTGCTCAGAGTATGTGTAGTGAACGACTCTCAGCCACTACCACATCCCACTCAGTGTCTGTGCTGAGGCTGTTTCTTTTTTCTGAACGTCCGTTGGTCGTCGTGGTCATAATGAAATGAGTCGACTCCAAAAGTTAATCAGGTGTCGATGTACATCCTGTGAATTATTTCTAGGAGTTTGGTTTGAATCCAGGCGCACACTGACATGAGCAAAAATAAAACATTGCTGCCTTTTTCCATCAACGGCAGACCATAAAAAGTTAGGTGAATGCGTGTTTATAGTTGAGTGTGTAATTTGGACTTTGTGAGAATAAAAAAAAATACAATAACACAGTTCTTATTAAAAAAAACATAACACATAAGTTGTGTATTGTATAAATCTTCCACCCTGGAACACAAGCAGTGTAACAAAAATGATTAAATATTATCTTTAAATATAAAAAACTTCTGCCCAGCTGTAGTTGTCCTGCACTGCCTGAGTGAACCACACGAGGGCGCTGCTGGAACAGTTTCCTGCTGGTCTGATAAGAGCCCAAAAGAAACGGGTCCAGATTCAATGATGTAACTTTTTTTTTGTTATCTACCTGGATGATTGAGCCTACAAACCGTTTACCCCAATATTTTCTTCTGCCAGATGTTTTCTCTCAGATCTCTGACTCAGGGGGGGTCATGGTGTTTGCCAAGTTTGATCAGTTCCTCCGGGAGGTGTTGAAACTCCCCACAGCGGTGTTCGAGGGGCCCTCGTTCGGGTACACGGAGCACTCAGTGCGGATGTGCTTCCCTCAGCAGGTAGGAGGTACTCTGAGTACTCTGAGTACTCTGAGTACTCTTTGTTCGTGTACAGTTTGCACGTGTTGTTGAACACGTGTGTGTGCTTGCCTCTAGAAGAAGATTTTGCTGAACACGTTTTTGGATGTGTTGATGGCGGACTCCCCCCCTCAGTGTCTCGTGTGGCTGCCGCTCATGCACCGACTTGCTAATGTTGAAAATGGTAAGTTTCTACGGAGATGAATTAGTCTCTAAAGTGACACGAGCACACATCAAGATCCACAACAGCTTTTCAGATGTACACGTTTCTTATTAGTAGTAATGTTCTGCACATACAAATCATTACATACACGTGCACAAATCACCTGCTGTGCACAGATCAGCTGCCTGTGAACGCATGGGCGTCGCAACATTTCTATGTGAAGGGGCACCCAGCGCTGTTTCTGTTGCTACGTGAACGAATACGTTCCACCTGATTAACAGGAGAATACTCGAACCATTAAAAGTCCACTCCGGGTTTTCCTGGTTCCCAACAACAACTCACCACGCCTCGTGCAGAGTTTCTCCGAGGTCACTTGTCCTGGCAGGGCGCTCATCTCTGAGCGGTTTTGTTAGTCGACGAGGCAGGGGGAGGAGGGGGAGACACCTCCGTGTTGCACGCTAGGTTAGCGTTACGTTAGTGCCGGCAGGTGTGGAGGTTGGGATGCGTGAGAGAAGCGGAGCGCTACGTCTGTAGCATCTTAGCTAGCATGTCTGTGCTGCACCCGCTAGCTTAGCGCTTCGTTTGTACCGGCAGTGGTCGTTGTAAACGTAGATGTTTAACAGCTCGTTAAAACACACCAGAATGCAGGAAATGGCATCTACTTTATTCAAAATTTTCTGGGGGAGGATCCCCAGACCCCCCCCCCCCCCCACCACCAGCGTGTCCCCCCACATTACAAATGCTTCTGACGCCCATGTGTGAATGTGACTTTGAGATGTTTTGCCCCTCCAGATTCACAAAGGTAATGCTGCGTTCAAGGCTGGTGAAAAGCTGGGATATCTGAGCGTTACCAGTTATAGTGAGTTATTGGGAGAGTAAACATTTGGCACAGTAACTCATTAAAACAAGTTTAAATCACATGCACTTACAGTGACATTACTGGATACCGAAAATGATAATGTTGTGGATCGTACGGGAAAAATAAACAACTTAAAATGAGTAGGTTACTCTTCATGTGGAAAATTTATCAGAATTTATTTTTTTCTTCTGGTTTTTGAACAAAAATCAGAACGTCCATGGTCTGGAGGTCTCCATGGTCTCCATGGGCTGGGGGTCTCCATGGTCTCCATAGT